CTTCAATCTGGCCATACAAAAGTGAAAATTTTAATTTCCGAATGGCAAACGCATAAAAATTGCAAATTTCAAACCAAGCGCTTAATTTTCCAATTAACTGCTAATTTTATAGGCTTTGCATATTAATTTTCCAATTAWCAGCTAATTTTATAAGCTTTGCCATATTGCGGCAACAAAACGCTACTCTTTCTTAAAATCGGCTTATTCGTGAAAAAGCAAGTTGTCTACAAGTCAACGTGGCTAACCGCTGCAGCATCGAGTGTTTCGACTTTTTTGTTGTTGTTTTTTTTTTTTCTTTTTAATATTTATATTATGCACCAGCATTTTTGAAATGAGGAAAATCTTAAAGTCACCTAAAAAGCTCTAAACGGCAGTCAGCACAGAGGCGATAAAACCGGCTTTGTCATAAAGCGCGCATGCGCCTGCATTTTTATTTCTTTGCCGCAACTTTTTTTTTACTTGTAAAACCAAACCAAACAGCCTACAAGTTGTAATGAGCTGTACAGCGCAGGCGCGCAGTTATTTTTGTGCAGCAGCGCGACACTCTTATGACAACAGCTAATTACAGAGTCAAAAGGCAAACGAACAAAATGTGTAAAATAACAATAAATTGAGGTTATAAAAAATCAAAATAAATAGTGGCGAAACACGCAAGCAAACATACAAACCGCATGCGTGGAGAAATCAAGAAGCAAACACCGGCAAAGCTTATCACTGCCGCTTAAATGTGAGCCAGCGCATCGTTGACCGCTTTCGTAGCCGATAGTGAAGACGCCAACGATTTACATTTACTTCCACTGCTTGCGACGACAATCAAGTCAAGCAAGCTGTAAAAACCTGTTGCGTGTGAATTGTATAATTCGTTGTCGAGTGGAGTTGCGCAGACAGCGCTGTTCCGCAAGCATCGCCGCCTAAAGACAGCTTCACGCACACGTCTTTCCTATATATATGTATATATGATACGATTATACATATGTATATGCTGTGTATCCATAGCCATATCGGTCACTGTTAGCACCGCCAGCACCCACCAATAACCGCCGTTGAAGCATTCAACATGCGTTGTCCATATGATCGCCGGGAAGACAAAAACAAAAACGTCTGCATGGAAAAGCGTCACTGACATTGCACACCATAATAACAAGAATAAAATTGAAGAAAAACAGACGCAACACAATGCATATTTATAAGTAAAAATCAATACACTTCGCTCAATCACACATAGGTATACATGTGAGTGCTTGCTGCTCAGCCCACAGCCCAGATCACAGAGCCCAAAGCCCAGCACCTAACAACGCTGCACATTCCTTAATGCCTACTGCTTTTTTTTACCTATCAAACTGTCCATATATGTATGTATATGTACATACATGCAATCGCTTTTATGTATATGCAGCAATATGTAATAATACGCAGAGCGCGCCACCTACCGCCTACTTAGTCGCCATCAGTGATCGCGCATGCGATCGTTAACACTTGTCGCTTCAACCAATAAAACTGCACAGCTGCTGCTGTGTCGCTGTAATTTTCTCATGCCCACAGATTTCTTGCGCACAACGCATTCTTCACGCGCAAAGACACGCTTMCAGTGAGTGGCTTAGTATTATATACGATAAAAGTAGTCACTAAACACAYCGAGCGCTCGTTTCTACGCTCAAAAMTTAAARTGTATTTGTATGGTAATGTGTGTTGGTTCCATGATATGTGACTTGAGCAGCTTGTAGAAGCGCGTCTGCAGACGCATTCTACGCACTTTTACATATTGTAGACAAAGCAGYGTCGCACAGGYAAGTGATCGTGTCTTCGCCGCGTTCGATGTGATTCCGCTGTAAACCTGAACGTTACAACAAAGCAGAGWTTGCGGTCAGACACTGATAGGCGCGAATGCAACGTCTGCGTGCMAGCCACTGACCCCATTGCTTGAAGGTATTGTAATTGATAAGTACRTATATGCAGAAATACGTACAGAGCGTGTCTTAAAATTAACAGYGATGCGAATTTCACTTTAAGCAGGTTGAGAATCATATTATTTGACAAGATATCTTCACGAAAATCGGCATGCATTACTAACCAAAGGAAGAGGTTAATCTCCAAAGAAATTGTTCAGATTGCATCACTATAGCTTATAGCTGCCAYACAAACTTAACGATCGAAATCAGGCGCTTATATGGAAAACTTTCTTATTTGACTAAATATTTGCACGAAATTCAACAGGCATTATTAACCGAAACAACGGTATAATCTCCGAATAAATTGTTCAATTCGGATCACTATAGCTTACAGCTGCCATACAAACTTAACGATCGAAATCAGGCGCTTGTATGGAAAACTTTCTTATTTGGCTAGGCATGTGCACATAATTTCGCACAGTGTATTCCTAAAAATAGCGGTATAATATCCTAAAAAATTGTTGAGGTCGGACTACTATAGCTGCCATACAAACTARCCAATCCAAATCAGGTTCTTGTATAGAAACTTATTTCCTATGAAGTCAAACCAAATTTAACATTTAACATTGTTTTTTTGTTTTTGTTGTTAAGTATTTTTAACAGCCGTTAGTTGGCAACACGCTAATAAGTTTCCCAGACACATTTTGCCGGTTATGGCCAAACAGCAGCAAAATCCAAAATAAATTATTTTTTGTTAGTACATTCTGCGTGTAGTGAGCTTTTGCCAGACATGCATGGCGTAAAACATTTCTAAATTTAACCCGATACAGACGTAAATACTCCGCACCAACAGCCATGAGTATTTTTGGCAACCAAAATTGTGCGAACAACTCCATGTCACGCCCAGTTAGTCAATTTTGCGCAGCCGAAAATGTGCTGAACGAGCATGTGTAGATAAGCTGATAACTAGCATTTTTGTGACGTCAGCTCGTTAGTTAATGAACAGCTGTGTATACAGATACTTATAAATATATAATATATGTCCACACTTAAACAGGTTAGCAAATATTGACATACTTTGCATTTATCGGTCTAATTCTGTTTATTTCTCACCGTTTGATTTGCGCTCGCCAATCGCGCTTAACACTTTAGCGCACTTGATTAACTCGCGTTCCATAGAGCGGAAAAAACAGCTGTTTCAGTTTCAAGCGTTGACATGCGTTCGTTTGTTGTAGCAATTATGAACTGATAGCTGATTTGATATGATATCTATAAATATATATATATATATATATCTATAAAGTCGGTGTTTTGGTATACAAAAATTTTTATTATACAAAATTTTCTTTATAATTTTTCTTTTGAAAGCTTAAAAAGTAAACAAATAAAATCTAAAAATAGATTTTAAAAATATAAAAAAAATTTAGTTATTATACCAACAAAATAAAAAATAAAAAAAATTTAATTATAATTTTTATTATCAAAAAAAAAAATTGTTTAACTAATTTCTATAACTAAAAAGTCAAGAAAATGTGTGAGCTGCCAAAATAATGCAATATGCAATTGAGAAATATTGATTTTAATCTAATTTTCTATACAGAAAATTTTTAAAAATCATTTAAAATAATTAAAAAATTGCAAACATTTTAAAGCTATCAAAAATAGTAAAATTTAATTAAAAAAATAAATAGCAAAAAAAAAACTTTAAAAAATTATATGGAGAATTTTTTTTTATGTTAAATTTTTGTTATACAAAAAAATGTAACACTAATTTAAAATAAAAATAAATATTTATGCTGTCAAAAAAGAATAAATAAAAATTTAAAAAAAGATAATTGTGATTAACGGTATTTCTATTACGCGAAAAAAATGTACTGTAATTTTTATTATACGAAAAGGATTGAATATAATCAAATTTTAATTTAATTATTTTCATACGAAAAAAATTTAAAAAATAATTTAAAAATCACCAAAAATTTGTAGTTGTCAAAAATAACTAAAATCAGCTTTTTTTTGTAATTTTTTGCTTTTGTTAAAAGTGTTGATTTTTGCAAAGATCGCATTGAAAGGCCGCTTTGGCACTCACTCAAACACCAGCATTAGAACATACATTAATGTATATGTACTTATACTTACAGATAYGCATTCAATATATATACATACATATATGTATGTGTGTACTTAAAAATAGCGCTTAAAAAGTGCCATTCACTTTCGTTTTAAGATTTTTTCTTTTCAAATTGTTGCACTTTACTCGATCACCTCAGCCATCAACAATATTTTTTCACACCTTTTAGAGATACTGTCCACATATACATTAATACAAACATAGTAAACAAGGCTTTTGCAACTTGAGATGCCGCATGCCACATCTGTCCGATATATATGTATGTATGTATGTAGACATGTATGTATGTATGTATGGATGAATGAACATACATATGTGTGTATGTATGTATACATGTGTATAGTGCATTTATTGTTTTAAATATAGATGACTTATTCACATTGAAGACCAACGCAACTCGCTTCCTAACGGCCCAGCTGCGACGTCGAAGCTAAAAATAAGTTCGAAGACAAGCCGTATTAATTCTGAGAAAACCGACAAAAACCTTAAAAACACCTTCACCTCCTGATCTCATCACGGCACATAGGTCTCGAGACATTTTTTATGTAAATACGAAGCTTAACTAGGAATTCTTAATTTTCTTGGCGTCAGTAACGAGTCAAGCAATGCAATATTTGGCGAAATTTTTATACTTCCTTGGCAAGACATTGAAATCACCTGTTGTTGTTGCTTGTTTTAGTCACTTTCAATTTGTTTTTAGCACAATTCGGTGGGTGTGTTGCTTGTTGATGCGTTATTAGAAGAGTCATTTGTAGGGTGGCGTGATCGACGCCTGCTTCAAATGCTAAATTTGCTAAACAATATAGCAACACGCGCCCACCAACTTAGTTGCCTCAATCATATGGTTCTTTATTTTAGACCACACTATAATATCACATCGCAAAGCTGTCGAAATTTCATTGAAAAAATATATACTATTTATCATTTTATTTCAATAATAATTTTATTTAATTTTTTTTTTTTACTCTTTCTTCTTCTTTCAGCCGTTGTGCCAAGCGTGTAATTTTCGCTGACGATGAGGGTCAACCGCTAACGGAGGTGCGTGTTATGTCCGAACCCTCCAATGTGCCGCCATTGTGGAGCACCAAATTCTTGGAACAAATTACACAGGGTCTCGTTAGTCCACACCCGGCCGATCAATGGACCGTCGACTTTAAACAACCAGCATCCGATTACTTAACATTTAGGTGAGTGCGAAGGCGACAAAACACAAATTTCCATATTTATACCCTGAACAGCGTCTATTAAGTCTGGCAGGAGGTTCGTAAGACTAATAAAGGAACATCGGAGTTCTTTAAAGTATATTAATCTAAATGGTCAGCGTGACAAGCTAAGTGGATTTAGCAATGGCGGTCTGTCCGTCCGTCTTTTTATATATACACGAACTAGTCCCTCATTTTTTGAGTTATTTATCGAAAATCTCATCTGTCTATGTCCGTCCCACTCTCTGTGTATATATTTAACGAAGATATCTTCTMTCGAGTAGGAGCTCCGTTRGCTTTAGTTACTACTGGAMTGTTGGGGCAGCAGTTGTGCAGGTTCTTTTGGTYCACGGTTAATCAGAAGAAATCGACACAGCTCTTCGCTTTCAACTGGGTAAATGTCCACCTTTCAATGGTGGTATGAGTTCCATTTGGACAAGGTCTGATCAGGTTTCGTAGCAGATGTTCACTTTCAGCAAGGTCCACCTTTCAACCACGAGCTATAACTGGACACYGTCCGATCGGGATTYCTACAGCCTTTCCGAATCCCAGTTGCTTTAGCTGTTTGGGAGAAGCTGAGGTAGAATCATCTCAAACTGCCATGCTGCGCGATCAGACATTAAACCTAACTTATTGCGCAAGATAACGGAGCAATCTCCGAAGAAACGGTTCAGATCGGTTCACTATAACATATAGCTGTAATACAAACTGAACGAACGAAGTCAAGTCATGCATGGAACGGATCAGAGTTCTTTCAACAAATGTTGTTGTTGTGTTATAGCGGCAGAAATCTGACCCGGATTTTTATCCGGCTAAAAACTGTAAACTTCCTTGACCGGATAAATATCCGGGTCCCCTCTGGTTACGTAGACCCGACTGTCGTAAAAACGGTATTTGTGCAGGGTACGGAAATTACAGTTTCGGTGTAACCGAAGTTAACGACTTTTCTTGTTTTTTTTAAATCCATATTTGGACTTATAAATTTTTTTTATCGATATTACAGAGAAAAAATCGATCGTGACTTTGTCTCACTCGAAAATGTGATTGTCAAGGATGAAGAGTCCATTGTTGTCGGCACGGTGAAAGTGAAGAACATCTCCTTCGAAAAGGAAGTCGTTGTACGCGTCACCTGGGACGACTGGAAGAATCAGCAGGACATATTCTGCACCTTCGCTAGGGTGAGTTGCAAGCAAGCTAGCAAGCAAAGCATTATTGTTGCTAACTGTTGCGCTGCTCTTTTTTTTTTTTGTAGGCTTATGGTCCCGCTACCTATGCGCACGTCGTCTTCGATACGTTCTCATTCAAGATCACATTGCCGCCATCCTCAAAGCGTCTGGAATTCTGCATTTGCTATCGTGGCAATAACCAAGAATACTGGGATAACAATGGGGTAGGACATAATATAACTTATTTTAACACTATTATGTTAATTAACCACTTGTCTTTATCTACACTTATACACAGGGTAAGAACTATACTATTACAAAGCGTTCGCCCTTCTACTACAACGCACTCTCGCCATATGACAAGAATACATCGCGCAATAGCTGCCGCGGCCATGTGATGTCCGCGCTCTCGGAAGCACTGAGCAATACGAAAGAGCATCAAGCACAAAACAATTGGAGTCAGGAGTCGGGCCCCTACTGGTAAATGTCATTTTGTATTAGAAGCAAGCAGTCAACAAGCTGTTGGTGAGCAAACTTGAATGAAACAGTGAAGCTAAACAAGGAAAATTTCCTCAAATTCAACAGGCAACAAAAACAGAACGAGGAGAAATATTGGTGATGGTGATTATACTAAATAAGGATGCGAGTCGTACGCTCCGCGCTAAGGAGCACTCAGCGGCTAACGTCGAAAACAGCGCAAACAACCCTGCGGTAGAACAAAGAATCTTAAATAAATGCCAATGTAGAACAACTAGTTTAGATGCAGTAACAACAACAATAACAAAAACAAGCAATAACTAATGTAAACACAAAGCAAAACAAATATAAGCAGCACAAAAGCATGAGCGGTGCTGTTGAGCTACGAGGACGCCACTGGCGTATGCCAAAACAACCCAAAACAACAGACGTGCGGAAAACGAAGTGCACCCGAACTCAATATAAGAACTGCTAAGCAACGTTTAGGCGCTACAAAAGTCAAAAACAACAACAAAAACAATTTGATATAAAAGTGTTAAGGCGCTCATGGTGATGTCCAAGAGCTAAAAAATATGAAAAATCCATAAAAATTTGTGAAATTTTTTTCTAAGATTTTCAAAAATTATATAACATATACGGCAGGGTAGTGCGTGTAAAGTCGTTGCAATATTTGTGCATCAATTATGGACATTTTAAAAACTTTAACTTAAAAACAAAACAACARAAAAAGTGATTTAGTGGCCCCTGCGTAAGAGAGCTATCTGTGGGCCGTGATCATAAAGACTTGAGAGTAGAAATAGTGATATTAAAACGTTGACTTAGTATACAAAAGGAAGGAAGTAGTAAGGAAGAAAGTAGCAAGGAAGAAAGTAGTGAGAGGAGCAAAGAAAAAACTAGTAAACTTAAAAACAATACAAACAATAGAAAGGCGGCACGCGCCGCCAAAGCAAAGCGCAGCCAGCAGCAGTTTAGAAAGTGTTAGAGGAAGTGACAAACTTCAATGTGCTGAGTTCGCGAACCGCGCGCCTAAGCTTGTTTGGCCAGCGCTTTAATGCGTGGCTTAAGTGTGTTCGAGCTGGTTTCGAATACACGGCCAGCAAGCGGCCTGTTTGACTAGCGCTACATAATTTTAACTAATGTGAAAATTACTCTATATATTTGTATACTATTTGAGGCAGCAACAAAGTTCGTTATAAGCTAACATGAACTTTGTTGATGTCTCAAGCAAAAAAGATTCCTATATATTATTCTATATAAAGCGTGATGACTTGCCATTTACAGCCCAGAAGCTGCARCGCATTGACGCACTAGCGGAACTATGGCTATGCGAGAGCGCTGCAAAGCGGCAGAAGCAACAAAAGTAAGCACAAAGCGTGTAAAGTTAGCCAGCAGTGTTTTACTTTTGTTCATTTTGCCGGTTTTTAACGTTGCTGCGCGCATGCGCGGAACTTTAGAGCAGCAATAAGCGCATATGAGCGCATTAACTAAAGGCTGAGACTTCAAACYATTATTTGTTTATACCTTTGAAGTGCTCAAGCGCCTAAATAAGCAAGAAATAAATAAAGATAAGAGTRTGGAGTTAAAAAATTAAGAGTACGGTAACATAGAAACTTTATACRAACATTTACTACCCAAAAAGCTAACGCAAACTCAATATTTACTAGCAGAACTGCAAAAATAACTACAAAAATACTGAGCGAACTGCAAAAGACAGCGCGCTTTCAGAGYTGAGTTATGAGTTTGAGAGGTTTGAGTGGGATTAGGGGCCACAGCAGCGTTTAGCGTTAGCTTAGGTTAAAGCAACTACTTGAAACTATGCGCACAAGCGCTAAACAAATCAAATAACAAGCGTTTATTTGCAAAATCTGAAACTAGTAACATATGCTATAACAATAACAACAAAATGAAAASTGAAAASTGCAAACAACAAAGCATAAAGATAAAARCAAAAATTTATAAGTACACATACCCAAAACTTTAACAAAACTAACTACACATACCCAAAACTATAACTAAACTATAAAATACGCCTACATATAGCCATAAAAAATATATATATTATAGTAAGTTTAGCCGTAAGTTGGAAAACAAACACTTGTTGTTGYAGTAATGTAGTCTAGCTGTAAGCGGCAAATATTGTGTTATGTGCGCGCGGAGTTTGTGATTTTTGCACGGCGTTTTTCTTTTATTATATAAACAACGCATAAATTCTTAACGAGACTTGTGCTAACGATTTCTTTTATAAATGGTTTTATATATTTAATTCCTTTTTACAAGTCCGTGCGCGGCTGCCACAATTCCTTGCAACATGCGCAGTGTGTTTTAGTGGCGTTTGTTTGTTAAATGGAGCCATAAATAGCTATTATTGTTAGTAGACATTTTTTTTGATAAACAAAAACTTTTTATTGAAAAATATTTTTTTTTAATTTAAAATTTTTTTTTATATTTTATATTAAATCTGTCTCTTATACACATCTTTTTGCAATTTTTTTAACTTATTTTTCAATAAGAAAAATTTCAAAAAGATATGTAAAAAAATTCGAACGAAGTTAAAAAATAAAAAATAAAAAAATCTTACAAAAAAAACTTTTTATTGAGCAAAACTTTAAAACCTGCGCACGATAGTGCTATAACTATTATTATTGTTTTAATAAACACATAACCTTTTTTTAAGTTTTCTTTAATAATTTTTTTTAATTTTTTTGGCAACTTTTTTGAAACGGGTTTTTTCATAAAAAACTTTTTTGAAGTAAATTTAAAAAAAATATAAAAACGATTAAAAAAGTTGTGCCATATATAA